CCTCTCCATTGGTTGTACTGCTGGACTTTTAACTCCTCCAAGATCACTGAGAATTTCCAAAAAGATTCTGTGCCTTTGTGTTATTTCTTCAAAATCCAAACTCCCTCTTAGAAGTCCCTAACCTCACTTAAAATAGGACTTGGGCTTTAAATGCAAGGGGGGCAAGGAGAAATGTGTGTGTGCTACGTCCATTCTCCCTAATAAAAAGGATTTCAGGCAGTCAAAATGACAAATATTCCCCTACATAAAAATTTCTGTCTAAGTCTAAAGTTTAAAATTCAGTAAATTTTGGAATTATGTACCTAACAGGAACTTTCAAAAACTAAAATGTCTTAGCCAGGTGCCATTGTCTCATGCCTGTAATTCTAGCTGCTTGGGAGACTGAGATCAGGAGGATCTTGGTTCTAGGCCAGCCCAGGCAAGTTTGTGAGACTATCTTCAAAATAACCAGAGCAAGAATGGGTTGGAGGTATGGATCAAGCTATAAAATGCCTGCTTTGCAATTGTGAGCCCTGAGTTCAAATCCCAGTCCCACTGGGGAAAAAAAAAAGGAAAGAAAGACTGTCTTTACTCTAAAGGTAAAATGACTTCTGTAAGATTGCACAGCTAGTTGGTAATAGAGCCAGGTCTAGAACAGAGATCTGTAGACTTATCATAACATTGGAATACTCTTAACATTAATCTTGGATTGCCTATAATTTGAATTATTGAATTTTTGACTTATTTATTTATTTTGAGTCAGGGTCTTGCCATATAGCCAAGGCTGGCCTGGAACTCTATATGTAATCCAGGTTGGTCACAAACTCACGATCCTCCTGTATTAGCCTCCTGAATGCTGAGATTACAGGTGTGTGCCACCATGCCTGGATGGATTTTTTGGCTTTTACTCAATTTATTTAGTAGACATTTGTTGTGTTTACTATTTACCAAACACAAAGTAGGAGTTGGAACTGTAAGTAAGAAAGAGACTGGCTAGGTGTGGTAGTGTACTTCTGTAATCCCAGCACTTAGGAGGCAGAGGCAGGAGGATATTGAGTTTGAGGACAGCCTGGGCCTTATTTCTACCTAGGATTAACACTAAGTGCAGATAGTTAGAAGTTACCCTTTGGCCTTGTGTGTTTTGAAGGTCAAAGAGTAAAAGGACATTTCAGACAGTGTGTCAGTAATTGGAGGCTTCAGTCTTGAATTGCAACCAGAATTATGACAGAAAACCAGCATTTTTTCTTTTCTGTCTGCTATTTAAATGTTAAATGTTACGGGCCCAAGCTATGGAAACAATTCAGATACCCTACAACTGATGAATGGATTAAGAAAATGTGGTATGTGTATACACACACACACACAAAAGTATTATTCAGCCATAAGGAAGAATGAAATTTTGTTGTTCACAGGTGAATGGATGGAACTGGAGAATATCATCTTAAGTGGAGTATGCCATGTGCAGAAAGACAATGATTGCATGTTTTCTCTCATGTATGGAAGATAGATCCAAATACAAATAAAAGGGTTACCTCTCACACACACACACACACACACACACACACATATTACCATATTTATACATATACATACATGTATATATATATATATACACACACACTGAGACAGAACATGTTTCCAAAAGTGGGACTGTTAGAGGAGACTAAGGGAGGAGGAAATGAAAAAAAGAATGATAGTAAGTAATACTGGAATTCATCATATCTGTGTAGGAACAAGACACAATGAAATGCACTGAAAACTGTTGAACAATACAGGGCAGGGGAGAAAGGGTAAGGAAGAGTAATAAGAGGGGGTTAGACTGATTAAAGGACAATATATTTACAGGTAAGACATCAGGGCAGAATCCCACCAGACACTATACAATGAAAGACAGGAATGTAAAATAGGTCATGTTAAAGAGAGGTTAATACCAGAAGGGGGAGGGTAAATGAAGAGGGATAAAAGTGGATGAATATGGCTGAGGTAGTTTATATATATGTATGAATATGGAGCATTGAAGCCTGTCAAAGTCATTTTAAGAAAGGGAATGGGTGCTGGGTACCAGTGGCTCACGCCTGTAATCCTAGCTACTCAGGAAGCAGAGATCAGGATCGAGATTTGGAGCCAGCCAGGGCAAATAGTTCATGAAACCCTATCTAGAAAATATGTAACACAAAAAGAGCTGGTGGAGTGGCTCAAGATGAAGGCCCTGAGTTCAAGTCCTGGTACCACAAAAAAAAAAAGGAGGGGAGGAGTGGGGGAAGAGGGAGAATAATGGAGGGATGAACCAAACTGGGATACAATATATGTATATATGGAACTGTCACAAGGAAAACCCTGGTATAATTATCATATACTAATAAAAACATTAAGAAAATAAATGTTATGGGCAGCCAGGCACTGGTGGCTCATGCCTGTAATCCTAGCTACTTGGGAGGTAGAGATCAGGAGGATTACCGTTTGAGACCAGCAAGACCGTATCTCAAAAATACCCAATGCAAAAAAGAGCTGGTGAAGAGTGACTCAAGTGGTAGAGCGCTGCCTGAGTTGACCACAGTACTGCCAAAAATAAATCAATACATAAATAAATGTTGTGGGTAAAATACAAGCCATGTTTTTAAAATTACTATAAAATGCTTCAGATACATAAAAGTTTTAAGGAATAAGGTGAAGAATAATGTTATAAATAGAGTTATAGTTAAGAAATACAGTTTTCTAGATATAATAAGTTTTCCTCTGTATTCTTTAAGTGAATTCTCCTTTCTCCCCTAAATGTAACTGTTATGTCAACTTGTTTATATCGTCTCCACCTATGTCTTTACTCATACCTATATACCCCTAAGTTATATGTAATGATGCAGTATGATACAGGGTGTTATTTTGCATGTTTTAGAGCTTTATGCAATCCTGAACAAAATACTGCCAAACTGAATCCAGCAACATATAAAGGGATTGTACTCTGTGAAAAGTGGGATTTATCCCAGGAAAGAAAGATTGGTTTATCATGCAAATATTAATTTAATATACCACATTAATAGAATAAAGGACAAAAGCCACACAATCATTTGAACAGACACAGAAGAGGCATTTAACAAATTCTAGCCTCATTTCATAATTAAAAAAAAATAAACAAAACTTGGCTGGGGTGTAGCTTAGTGATAGAGCACTTGCTAAGCATGTACAAGGCCCTAGATTCGATCCCTGGCACTGCAAACCAAATGAACCAAACAGCAAATACTGTGCGTGTGTGTGTGTGTGTGTGTGTGTGTAGGGGAGCTAATAGCATAGTCAGTGGTGAGAGAATGAAAATTTATCCTTAGATCCAGAACAAGACAAGGGTGTCTGCTCTGCCCCTTTTCAATATTGTGCTAGAGGTTGTAGGTAGGGAGGTTAGGATGAGAGACATGAAAGGGATCCAGACAAAGGGAGAAATCAAACTATTTGCAATTGATATGATCATGTAGATAGAAAACACTAAGGAGTCCACAGAAAACTATTATAGCTAATAAGGATGCAGGATACAAGATCAGTATACAGAAATCAATTTGAAAACAAAATTGAGAAAATTCCATTTACAACAGCATGAAAAATAATAACATGCTTATGAATAATTTTTTAAAGGAGTGTTAAGACACTGAAAACTGTAAACATCACTGAAAGAAATTTTTTTGTTTGTCTTTTTGAGATAAGTTCTCACTGTGTAGTGCAGTCTGGCCTTGAACTCATGTTCCTCCTGCCTCCACTTTCAGAGTGCTGGAATGATAGGGATCTACCTGTAGTGCATATCTGTAATCACAGCTACTTGGGAAGCTGAGGCAGGAGGATTGAGAGACTTTGACTTCAAAACCAAACAAAACAAAAGGACAGTGATAAATTTTAGCAGGCATGTGGAACAATTGGAATCTTCATATATTGGTGTATGAATATAAAATGTTGCAGCTGCTTTGGAAAAATAGTTGGTCAAGGATTCCATTTATTAGAAATGTCCAGAATAGGTAAATCCGCAAGAGAAAGAGAAAGAAAGTAGACTTGGGATTCACAGGGTTGGCAGGAGGCAGGAATGGTGAGTGAAGATGGGTACAGGTTTCTTGAGGGTGAATGTGCTAAAAAGCACTGAATTTTGTAATGTAAAGGGGTGAATCTTCTGGTATGTTAATTATATCTCAATTTGAAAACAAGGAGGAAAATATATAAATATTCTTTTAATGTAGTATGAAGACAACCCAATTTTAAAAATGGACAAAAAGCCAAGCATGGTGGGCACACCTGTAATCTCAGCTTTCAGGAGGCTGAGGCAGAAGGATTGTGAGTTTGAGGCCAGCCTCAAAGCCTGAGACCTTGTCTCAAAGATAAGAGCCAGAGATATCAAATGACATTTCACAGTTATAAACCACAATAGTTACATTTGGGGGCTAATTATATCTTGAGCACTTTGCATATGTTTGTTTATAATTTTTATAACCAATCTTAAGGTAAGTATTGTTTTCCCCATTTTATAGATTCAGAAATGAGTACTAGCTGAGAGCTGGTGGCTTATGCCTGTAATCTTAGCTACTCAGGAGGCAAAGATCAGGAGGATCATGGTTTGAAGTCAGCCCAGGCAAATAGTTCTCCAGCCTCTATCTCAAAAAAAACCCATCACAAGTAAGGGCTGGTGAAGTGGTTCAAGGTTTAGGCCCTCAGTTCAAACCCCAGTACCACAAAAAAAAAAAAGAAAGAAAGAAAGAAAAAAAGAAAAGAAATGAGTACTAGTTAAGTAATTTCTTATTCTAGTTAGTAAGTATGGGAGTGTTAATTTTTCTAAGTGAGAGTGTGGCTCGAGTGGTAGAGCACTTGGCTAGCATGCATGTGGGTTCAGTCTGGGTTCAATGCTAGTACTACAAACAAATGAGTGGGCTGGAATTCAAAGCTGGGACCTCAGGTTTTACTCACCCACACTTTTTTTTCACAGGTCTTTGTGTGGATAGTTCATTTCACAGGGATGACTAAGCACCTGGCATCTGTCTGTTTTGTCTTTCCAGATCCATTAATGAGATGAAACGGCTGGAGGAAATGTCAAATTTATTTCAGAGTTCTGGAGTCGAGTGTCACCCTCCAGAACCAAAATCCCAAACAGAAGGGAATGAAGATTTGAAAGACAAAGAGGAACCATGGGAAATGGTAATGGATAAGAAGCACTTTAAGCTGTGGCGGCGCCCAATTACAGGCACCCACCTTTATCAGTACCGAGGTAAGCCAAGCTTGGTTGCTTTTTTTTTCTTTTTTTCTGGGGGTTTGAACTCAGGGCCTCACTCCTGCTTGGCAGGTGTCCTTACCACTTGAGCCACTCTGCCAGTCCTTGGTTGCCTTTTAAGTGTGTTTCCTAGTTCCCTGGGTACTCAGCAATTCTATTCCTCATAATTCCCTAAACTGTTCTGCTTCTCATATTTTTTCTGGCAGGGGGTGGGGAGTACTGGGGTTTAAACATAGGGCCTGGTGCTTGCTAGGCAGGTGTTCTACCATTTGAACCAAGCCCCCAACTTTGTCACAGTTTTCTGTTTGCTATTTTTCATGTCCTAGATGACAAATTTCTTGGTGTCTTCCTTGATATAGGTCATGTTTGTCTTGCTTTGCTACCCAAGCATGATTTCTAGTTTCTAACCCTACCTTTAAGATCTGTCAGTTCTCTAAAGTTGAAACATAGGTGAAGGGACTAGGGTGAGACACAGGAGTGAGGCAAGCATCCCTTATCCCTAATTGTTTCTTGTGATTCTAGTTTTTGGAACCTACACAGATGTGACACCCCGGCAGTTCTTCAATGTTCAGGTGGGTTAATTTTTTTTCTCCAGATTTGGAGCTTCCTAGCAAGTCAGTTACCACTGTCCACATGAATAAATTTTCTGACTCAGATGAAACTGGCTTTAATATATCCATCTGTGTCTATACTTCCATCCTACATCTTGTAGCATCTGGGTAAACATTGGATGTACAATTTCTTTGTTGTGTGGGGATGAATGGATTCTAACTGCCACCTTCACTCCAACTGTTGAGAAGACCAAACAGAAGAATAGTTGATAATGTAGTTTTTATTTCTATTGAAGTTTTATTTTGTTTTTTTTTCTTTGAAGTTTTATTTTATCTACTTTTTAGATATGATTTCTTTTTTTTTTTCTTTTATTATTCATATGTGCATACAAGGCTTAGGTCATTTCTCCCCCCTGCCCCCACCCCCTCCCTTACCACCCACTCCGCCCCCTCCCCCTCCCCCCACCCCCTCAATACCCAGCAGAAACTATTTTGCCCTTATTTCTAATTTTGTTGTAGAGAGAGTATAAGCAATAATAGGAAGGAACAAGGGTTTTTGCTGGTTGAGACAAGGATAGCTATACAGGGCATTGACTCACATTGATTTCCTGTGCGTGGGTGTTACCTTCTAGGTTAATTCTTTTAGATATGATATCTTTACTAACTGTAGTATCAATATTATTACTTTTTTTTTAATAGAAGACAATGGAGGTACCATTATTAAAGTCAGTAAGTTTAACGTTGCTACACCACTATAATGGAGTCTTCTACTTGTATTCTAGTTTTATCAGTTGGTCCAGTAATGTCCTTCATAGGTTTTCATTTTTAGTACAGGTGCAGTTAAGATTACATTTAGTTGTGCATCTCTTTAACTTCTTGTAATCTAGAACTTTTCTCCAGTGAAGGCATTCATTAATAAAGATGAAGAGTATCGAGCCAGGTGTTTGCTCATGCCCATAATCCTAACTACATGAAAACTGAGTTTGGGAAGATTGCAGTTTGAAAGACCCTCATCTCCAAAATAATTAGAGCAAAATGAACTGGAGGGCGTGACTCAAGCAGTAGAATACCTGCTTTGCAAGCATGAAGGCCTGAGTTCAAACCCCAGTCCCTCCAAAAATACCAAAAAGAGTACCTGTTCAAGAACCGCTTTCCTCCTTGGACTTGGGGGATGGGGAGAGTTAAAACAAAAGTGAAGCTGGGTGCCGGTGGCTCACGCCTATAATCCTACCTACTCAAGAGGCAGAGATCAGGAGGATCCCGGTTCGAAGCCAGTCCAGGCAAATAGTTTGTGAGGCCCTATCTCAAAAATCCCTTGACAAAAAAAAAAAAAAAAAATGGGGCTGGTGGAGTGGCTCAAGGTGAAGGCCCTGAATTCAAGCCCCAGTACTGCAAAAAAAAAAAAAGTGAAAAGGGGAAGTGAGATCTCCCAGAGTTCTGTACAGAAATTTTCCTTCCTGGTATTTCCATTTGTTTTGCCAAACTTTCAGTAACCAGTTGATTGTACATACATTAATATGTAAATGCACTTTCATGTAGGCACTGGATTTTTGTCAATTGGTGTTGTATTTAAAAATGCACTACTTGTCTTTCTTTGAGGCGTCTGCTCATACTTTGAGACATTTTGTCTGCTTAAAGCTGTTTAGAATTGTTATACTTTTACACATTTTTATCACTATATAAAGGTAGTATATATTCCACAGGCATCTCTGTTACAGTTTTTTTGTTGTTGTTGTTGTTGTTTTTTAACATTATTTACTTTGGTCTGCCCTTTTCCTTCTTTGCAGTTCTGGGGATGAAACCCAGAGCCTTGCCTTCAACCACTGAGCTACATCTCCAGTTCTTGGTTTTTTGATACAAGGTCTCCATCTATTGCCCAGGCTGGCCTTGAACTTGAGATCTTCTTTCCTCAGCCTAAGTGCTGGGATTTACCCTTGGCTGCCTTTTTGTTTACATGCTTGTTATTCCAGCACTCTGGAGGCTGAGGCAGGAGGATTGTGAATTCAAGGCCAACTTGGGCTACAAAGAGAGCTCCTGTCTCAAAAAAGCCTCCCCACCACCAAAAAAAAAAAAAAAAGATGAAGAAAATTCAAATTACTATTTCCTCATGAAAAGGTCCTTGGGTCAGAGGTCCAAGCTCCTAGAGAAGCCTTATGCATTTTTACTTGGGATCTTCTTGGGTCTTCATGGTCTTCTTTTTCACAGCTGGACACAGAGTATAGAAAAAAGTGGGATGCCCTGGTGATCAAGCTGGAGGTGATTGAGAGGGACGTGGTTAGTGGTTCTGAGGTTCTCCACTGGGTAACCCATTTTCCTGTGAGTATTGTTACTTCTGGTTTTATTTCTATTAAGTCTATGGGATGCAGAATACTAATCCTGCCACTCCATTTCTTTAGTATCCAATGTACTCAAGGGATTATGTTTATGTACGGCGGTATAGTGTGGACCAGGAAAACAACGTGATGGTGTTGGTGTCACGGTGCGTATGTTTGCTGTGGTCCTTGCCCAGCTCCATTAGCTGTGCCTTTTGATTATTTATAGCTGTGAGTGTGTGTGTTTTCAGTGCCCCCATGAGTCTCCCGTGGGCTTTCCAGCAGCCAGTGCCCCATCCATCCCAGCTAGGAAGAAGAGTGCTGGCTAGGAAGACTGAAGGGAAACAGGATTTTAATAAGGAACTCACTCCATTTTCACAGCTTAATTTTTATTAATTCATCTTAGTGTTTCCTCTGTTTTGCTTATTTATTTATTTATGTATTTATTTATTTATTTTGTGGTAATGGAGCTTGAACTCAGGGTCTACACCTTGAGCCAGTCCACCAACCCTTTTTAGTGAAGGTTTTTTTTGAGATAGGGTCTCGAACTATTTGTCTGAGCTGGCTTCAAACTGCAATCCTCCTGAGTAGTTAGGATTACAGGTATGAGCCACTGGTGCCTAGGCTCTGTTTTGTTTATTTTAAAAAGTGAAGCTTCTAGTTTTTTAGGCCCTCCCCTTGACCTTAGCTCCCCATTGGCTTACTTAGAGACTTTACTAAGATTTGGCTTCACTTTCCTTCTTACAGTGCTGTAGAGCACCCCAGTGTGCCAGAGTCTCCGGAATTTGTCAGGGTCAGATCCTATGAATCCCAAATGGTTATCCGTCCCCACAAGTCATTTGATGAGGTGAGTTTTACTTTACCCAAGAAACAATGTAACGGCTTAGGAATTTTCTCGGAATGATTTTGTCTGAACTGGGGAAGGGATGAGTTGCTGGGGGCAGTGGTTCTCAAACTTGGCATTCATCAGAGTCACCTGGACTTTTAAAAAATACATTGCTGAGCCCCAGCCTCAGATTTTCTGATTCTGCAGGTCTTGAGAGGAGTGGAGAATTTACACTTGAGAAGTTCTCAGGTAAGAATCAGGCTGGTAGTCTGGGTACCAAGTTCTGGGAGCCTTCTGCTACAGATTGAGATAACTGAAGATCACTAAACAAAGTACTGATGACCCATGGGCTCCCTTTTATCTGAGAGAGAGTTGGGAGAAGATAATTTAATGTGTATTGTCAGCCTTCTTCAAGAACCACAGTGAGCATTTCACCACAGTGGCAAAGCACTGAAAATTCTTCTTGATTTAGGCTTCCTTGTCTGTAGAATGGGTGAATTAGACTAATAAGCTCTCCCTTTGAAAATCTGTTTTTTTTTTTTTTTTAAGAAAAATATGGTCTGTTTCTTGCTTGGTTTTGTTTTGAGACAGGTTCTGATGATGTAGTCCAGGCTGGCCTTGAATTTGTGATTCTTCTAACTCAACCTCTTTAAGTGCTGGGGTTACAGGTGTTGGCCACCATGCTCAGCTTTTTTTTTAAACTAAATTTCTGGTGAGTGTACATATTTATGCCAGTAGTTGTTGGCTTTAGTTTTCTTTTACTTTATAATGGCTTGGTTTCTCCGTATTGCTTTGTTTTAAAGCTATATGGACTCTTTTTTTTTGTTGTTGTTTTTGTTTTTTTTTTTTTTTTTGGCGGCACTAGGGTTTTAACTCAGGGCCTTAGGCACGTATTCTACCACTTGAGTCACACCCCCAGCCCTTTTTTTCTTTATTTTTAAGGTGGGGACAGGTGGGCCTCAGACCTCCATTCTCCTGCCTGTGGCCTCCCACATAGCTGGGATTACAGGTGCATGCCATCATACCTGGTTTATTGATTGAGGTGTGTGTGTGGGGGGGGTCCTGCACACTTCCCCACACTCCCTACCCACTCTGTGTCCTGCCTCAAACCACAGCTTCCTGATCTCTACCTCCCAAATAGCTAAGATTACAGGCATGAGCCATCGTGCCTAGCCAACTCTGTTCTTGTTCTTCTCAAGTTGTTTATTTGTATCACCTGAAGTAGGACTTTCCACTATGGCAGAGACAGTGGTTGACCTCAGTCAGCATAGTGTTTACTTCTGTGCTGTTTTTTACAGCAATATTTTTCAACTCACAGGTTGTTACCCATTAGTGGGAGACAACTAATTTAGGATATTATGATCAGTTTTTAAAAAAATAAATAGAAAAGAAATGAGTATAAGCATACTTGATGAAACTTTTGTTTAGTTACATAAGTATATGTGACCATGTGAGAGAAAGGGAGAGAAAGAACTAAGTTGCTGTGTAAAAAGTAGTATTTACAATGAGTTGTGGCTAAAGATACTTGAAAGTCTCTTGCTTTAGAAGATAGAAAAGAAGCAAGGCTGCTGTTGATTGCTGGTTATCTTGAGGACAGAGAGACTGAATTAGGTTGGGAACACTGTAGGTGGGAGGCTTATACCTTGTTTCATTCCTTTTATGTTGTTTTTGGCATTTGAACTATGTTACCTATGTAAGGAAAAAACTGACTTGAGCCCTGCATGTTTGGGGTGTCTGTAATCCCAGTGCTGGTAAGGCTGGGATCACAAGTTTAGGGCCATTCTGGACTAAATAGGGAGACCCTGTATCAAAAATACAAATGGCTTGAGTTCCAGCATTGTTGGCTTTAGAAATGATGACGTGAAATAGCCAAGGTATAGTTTAGCACTTAGCAGAATAGATTGTATCTAGTAGGTACCTAATAAATATTTCTTCTAGCTGTATTGGGAGAACTAAGAAATATCAATGCCGAATTGGGGCTCAAGTGGTAGAGTGCCTGCCTGGCAAATGCAAACCCTAATACTGCAAAAAAAACCCCAAAAAAGACCATGCATATATATATATACATATATGTGTGTGTGTGTGTTTATATATATATATATATATATATATATATATATATGTATATATATATATTTAAAATATATAGGTATATATGTATACATATGTATATATATATCAATATATTTGTATTATAGCAATGTAATTATTTAGTGTATTTGTGGCAAACTTACGAAAAAGATAGGACTTGTTTCATTTTATTTATTTTTTGAGGGGGTTTGAACTCAGGACCTCTTGCTTGTTAGGTTCTACCACTTGAATCATTCTGCCAGCTCAAAAAAGTTAGAACTTAAATTCATCTTTGTGTAAAGGCAGACTATAGGTAGAGGAGAACATGAAGGGCCCTGGAGATAGGAGACATGGTTAAAGCAAAGACAAAGATAGGAATGAGCCCTGCATGTGTTCATGGGCACTTAAAAAGGAAGGTAGAGGTTAGGAAGGAATGGTAGATTGCATTGACCATATTCAAAGGGAACTTGAAAACTAGGCAGCCAAGTTTAGATTTGCCAAGTGGACAGTAGTTACTTTAGCCAACATAGGGTGTTCAGTTTGTCTTACTTTTTATTTATAGAAAATTTGAAGCTTATACGGAAGTACAGAAAATGGCATAATGTACTTACGTAACTGTCCCAGGCTTTAGCAATTAACTACTCATGGCCAAACTTGTTTTATCTGTGCTCTTTTTCATTTCCTTCCCCACTCTCCTGATTTATTTATTTGTTTAGTGGTTCTGGGGTTTGAACTTGGGGTTTTGTGCTTGCTAGGCGAGTGTTCTACCACTTTACCCATGTCTCCAGTCCTCCCTCTGACTACTTTGAAGCAAATTCTAGCTTACAACAGAAGAATCCAATTCTATAGATATTTTAGTGTTTATCTCAAAGAGGGATTTTTATGAAGACATAACTGATATAATTGTGGCTAAAATAATTGACAGTCCCTAATACCAAATATCTAATCAGTGTTTAAATTTTCCTGATTGTCCTTGAATTTGCCTCATTTGAATCAGGATCCAAACAGGACCCAGACACTGAAATTTACTCACTGGCTTTTGAGTCATTTGAGATCGGTTTGATTCTCCCTCCTTTTTTTCTCCCATTTGTGTTTATTGAAGAAGCAGGCTTCTTTGTCCTGGACCTTGCCCATTATGTCTCCTTTAGGGTGTGCAGTGTTATTTACCATGATCTTTTATCTTCTGTCTTTTCCTCAATATTGCTAGTTAGATCTAGAGGCTTGAACGGATTCACATTGTTGGTTGGTTGGTTGGTTGGTTGGTGATTTTGTGTCAGACCACAGACAGATAATGTGTTGTTGGCCCTTGGTGAATTTAGAAGCTCTTGATGATTATCCATTATTTCATGAGGAATAACAAAATGCTGATTTTGTAACTCCTTTCTTTTTTCTTTTTTTTTTTTTTTGCAGTACTGGGGTTTGCAGTACTGGCCTACACCTTGAACCACTCCACCAGCCCTATTTTGTGATTTTTTTTTTTTTTTTTACATAGAGTCATGAACTGTTTGCCCAGGCTGGCTTCAAACCACGATCCTCTTGATCTCTGCCTCCTGAGTAGCTAGGATTACAGGAGTGAGCCACCGGTGCCTGGCTTCCTTTATTTTTCTTGATTAGTTGAAATAAGTCAGAGAAAATTTTCCCCATCAACTGTTTGTTTTCCTATAGCTCATATACGAAAGGGAAATAAGAGAAATGCTTGCTCTTTTCCTTCATTTATTAGTTTTCAAAATACCATAATGAATTGATTCTTTCAGTTATGGATCCTCAAAATTAAGATTTTTGTTTGTTTAACAAGGTCACTAGAGCTAGGGGTAGTGCCTTATACCTATGATTCCAGCTGTTACTGTTCAGGCAGGTGAGTTTGAGGCCAGGCTGGATTCTGAGTGCTGGGCTCTGTCTCCAAAAAGAAAAAAACGTATCATCAGAAACTCACAGATTTAAATATATTTAATTAGTTTTTAAAATATACTACAGTTATTGATGCTCATATTTATCCTGTTTTTTGACTACTAAGAGCCTCTTGTAGTCAGCCTTTTTTGACTACTAAGAGCCTTTTGATTGCTAAAAGCCTCTTGGGGCAAGTCCTTTTTTGATACTACCCCCAAGCACTTTTCTTACTTTTGGTATCAAAAAATGTTCTAGGAAGCCAGGCACCAGTGGCTCATGCCTATAATCCTAGCTACTCAGGAGGGAGAGATCAGGAGGATCGATGTTCAAAGCCAGCCCCATGCAAATAGTTCTCAAGACCCTATATCAAAAAAATCCATCACAAAAAATGGCTGGCAGAGTGACTCAAGCGGTAAGAGCACCTGTCTAGCAAACATGAGGCCCTGAGTTCAAAGTCCAGTGCCACCAAAAAAAAAAAAAAAAAAAAAGTATTCTAGGAGCAGAATATGGTGGCTCATGTCTATAATCCCAGATACAAGGGAGGTGGAGATGGGAGGATCACAGTTCAAGGTCAACCTTTGCAAAAAAAAGTTAGTGAGACTCCCACCTCAATACAACTAGATGTGGTGTCTCACATCTGTAATCTCAGCTACTCAGGAGACAGGTATGAGGATCAGGATATGAGACTGGCCTTGCAAAAAGCACAAGACAGTAAAACTAAAACAAGAAAGTGCTGGGGCCATGGCTCAAGGAGTAGTAGAGTGCTTGCAAGATCCTGAGTTCAAATAACCAGAACTCCTGGGAGGAAAAAAAAGTTATGTTTCAGGATCATCTTGTACATTTTTAGCTCTAAACTGGAAAATTGCATTTCTTTAAGTAGGCCTCATTCCTTTTAGTGGAAAATGACATTTAAATACCAAATACACAGTTTGACTGTTAGGGTTACTCATAGCTACTAGGTTTATTGGGTTTTTTTTGTTTGTTTGTGATATTAGGGTTTGAACTCAGGGCCTTGCACTTGCTAGGCAATTGCTCTACCACTTGAGCCAAGCCCCCAGCCCTATATGTTTATTGCTAAGATAAAATAAATCCCAAGGATATATTAATACTTTTGATTCAAATTCAGATTTATGATTTTTGTTAATGTCTTATATCCATTATCTTTCTCTGTGCTATAGAACTCAATTCCCAGCAACCCTGAAATATATACCACAGTCTCAGAATAATAGCAAGGCCACCAATAATAGGAATGATAAAATTTTGTTGTCTTTTTTTTTTTCGGTGCTGCTGGGGATTGAATCTAGAGCCTTGCACATGCTTAGCAAGGACTATATGTTATGTTCCCAACCTCTGTATGTCTTGTTCTCAGGATATGTAATGTGTACAAAATACTTGGGTTTTTTTGTTTATTTGTTTTTGTGGAACTGGGACTCAGGGTTTTGTACTTGCAAAGCAGGTGTTCTACCATTTGAACCACACGTCCAATTTATTTTGCTCTGGATATTTTGGAGATGGGATATTGAGAACTATTGCCCAGGCTGGCCTCAAACCTCGATCCTTCCGATGTTACCTCCCAATTAGCTAGGATTACAGGCATGCATCTACTGGTGCCTGGCTCAAAATAGTTTTAAGTCACTTGAAAGGTCTTTCTAGTTTTTCCTACCAACTCAGTTAAAATTTTGGGGTTTATTTCTTTATTATTATTATTATTATTAATAGACGCATTGTAATCATACATATTTATGGGGTAGAGTTGTCATTTCAATACATGTATACAATGTGTGATGATCAGAGCAGACATGGATCATTTCGTTTTGTTTAAAACATTCAAAATCTTCCCTACTGCCTATTTTGAAATATACAACTAACTTGACAATTGTGCTGCGAAGCATTAGATATCATTTTTGCTGTCGGGTGTGGTGGCTCATACCTGTAATCCTAGCTGTTTGGGAGGCTGGGATCAGGCAGATTGTGGTTCATGACCAACCTAGGCAAGTAGTTCATGAGACCCCATCTCCAAAATAACCACAGCAAAGTGGACTGGAGATGTGGCTCAAGCAGTGGAGTACCTACTTTGCAAGGGTAAAGCCCTGAGTTCAAGTCCCAGTCCCACCAAAAAAAAGAAAAATTATTCCTCCTATCCAGCTACACCTCGGTACTACTGACTGCTCTTTCTCCGCCCCTCCCTAGCCCGCACATGGATCCACTTTGGATTGATTTTTAAACTTAACTTTGTTTCATTATTAGGAAAAATATTTAAGTGTTTCCAAAGTCAAATCTATAAATAAGGAATATTTAGAGTAATTTGGATTATATCCCTGTCTCTTCCACCCAGTTCCTTCCTTCTTCCTGCAGTGACCATGTTTTCATTTTTGGTTTCCTTTTGATAATACAAGCAATGGTGGATGAGACCCAGGTCTCTTGACTTCCCAGTTTTGTGGGCAGAATGATTTATAGTCTTTCACTTGGGTTAACTCATTTCATCTTACCAGTTTTTTGGTGGCTTCTGTTACCATCTTATTTACAGCCTTTACCCCTCTCTTTTGTGTACTTCCACAGTATTTCAGTATTCTGGGAGGGTACCTTTTTATCCTAGCAATCAGATGCTTCCAAGGGCAAGGACTGGCGAAAATTTCTTTCCTCTACAGCACCTAACACCAGTGCTGCACACATAGCAGACATTCAAATATATGTTGAGTAAATGAATAAAAGATTAAACAGTTCACTTTGTGGGGGAGGGGGAAGAGGGAGCTCTGCCACCTCTAGTTGTTACTAGATGTTAGTAGTTACTAGTTGTTACTAGACTGCTTTAAAAAAAAAAGCAGACATAAAAGTGATTCTGTCTTATTCCTTCGGCTGGAACATAATTGGTTTAGACTTCTTGTAGGATTAGGAACTTTAAATCTTCATAATAATCCTATGTCCTTTTCAGTATTAGTCAGCTGAGAGGCAGTGGGTGCACTGTTATAACTTACAGGTTTTTACAAAAAATAGCATAATAGGCCATTACGTGCGTAAATGAATTTTACCCAACTGAAAAATGGTGAAAGATGGTGACTAATTTTACCATATGTTGAGTCAGTGCAGGAGGGAGACATTGTGAAGGGCTTTCAACATTGTAACTAAGTTTGTTTTTAACAGGCAGGATTCTCAGTTCTCTCACTGCATATGTGGGTGACACTGGTCAAAGTTACTTTTTTGTATTTAGTTTTCTCATCTGTAAATTGGGAGATAATTGTACTTGCATTATAAGATCATTATGAGAAGTTGACGCAGTTTCTAGCACATAGTGTTACATAAGTGTTTGACGGTAAAAATTAAGTTGGTTTTTTTTTTGGTGGTAGTGGGGTTTGAACTCAGAGCTTCATACTTGCTAGGCAGGTGATCTGCCACTTGAGCCACACTTCTAGCCCAAGATTAAAATTTTTAAGCCATGCCAGATGTGGTAGTGCACATCTGTGGTTCTAGTACCCAGAGGTTAAAACAGGATTGTGAGCTTGAGGCCAGCCTGGGCTACATAGTGAGACCCTGTCTCAAACCTCCCTACTCCACTCCTCCCCACCCCACAGAAAAAAATAAATAAATAAAAGAAAGGATAGTTAAGCTCTAAACATTGAGATTATGTACTAGAGATCCTTGGGATTACCCCTACCCCCTAATTTAAAGATTGCTAGAAGGACTCTTGGGAATCAGCATATAGTTAAATTCTCAGCTAAGATTTATAATGGTGGTATAGTAAGAATTAACAATTGTATTATAAGAGAAAACGACACAGGAATAGTTTGGTGGAATCCATGTGAGGCGTCTTTCTCCAGCAACAAAGTACAGCAGTATGAGTGTGAGTATGATGTTTCTCCAAGAAGGCCTCTTCCAGGTCCGAGTACCCAAAGTTTTTATTGGGAACTGATCATATAGCTCCCTCTCCTTTGTATGTACCAAATTCAAGACCCTCAAAACGAAAGCCTGTGTTCAGCAGAAGCCATGTGGTTTATATCATCTGGACACACAGAGTTACCATACTATGCTATCAGTCGATCGCTGCCTGGAAACACTCCTAGAGTCAAGTGGGCCAAAGGTCAAAGGCCTTCAGTATGAACTCTTTTCTACACAGGGTAAAATAAATGGTACTCCCTGCTCCAGAATCAGATCATACATATTCTGTGGTACTGGAGGTTGTGATGGGTAATTCAGGTACCCTCATCTTTGCTGTTTTTCTTTTTTCAGAATGGCTTTGACTACTTGCTGACATACAGTGATAATCCCCAGACTGTGTTTCCTCGCTATTGTGTCAGTTGGATGGTTTCCAGTGGTGAGTAGGATATCCATACAGGGCCTGGAACTTGGGTTTACATTTTATTTTCTCTTTCTTCCTAAAGCAACAGAAGTATGAGTATTGTTTTACTGGAGTACTGTTCAAATTCAACATCCTTCCCAGTTCATTCTAGCTAGCCTCCAGCTGAAATTTGAAGAGATGAGAATTATATGGCTCCAAAAAGGAATTTTTACCCAGAGAAGAATTTTTAAAACATTGGCTTTAATGCCTAAAGTATAGACTGTGTACATTATTGTATATAAATTTTTTCTACAGTAGTGAAGAGCTGGGTATAATGTCACATGCCTGCAGTCCCAGCACTTGGGAGGCAGGCCAGCCTGGGCTATATAGCAAGACCCTGTCTTGAAATAAATAGACAAGACATATAAGTAGAGTTGAAGGCTGTGTAAGATCTAGCCTGTGGGGAAAGGACTACCACCTGTCTAACAAAACCTATACATGTAACCACACCTTCCCCTTCCAGTTTCCTGTCTTTGAAAGCATCCTCATGTGATTTTCTTTCTTTTGTTCTCTATAGGCAGTTTCTTGTACCTTGAAGTAAATGAAGAGATTAGGTATTTCTGTTTGACATTTGTCTAAATAAAATTGGCAGCTATTTTGAGTATCCCACAGATACATGATATTTTAGTTACCTAAAAGAAAGCCTTTTGGGATTTAAGTGGTCTGATCAGTACCCCTTTTCAAAGGATCAGAGGTCATAGGTAGGGGCTCTCAGAGTGGCTCAAGTGATTGAGCACCTGCCTAGCAAGCATGAAGTTCAGAGTTCAAACTCCAGTACCACCAAAAGGAAAAAAGAGGTCACAGATAGTTTTCATAATCCATGCATAGGGACACATTCTGGGAGGCAGCTGTCACTCACAAATTGTCATTCACGCTCTTACTCCTATCCCATTCAGAATTGCTGGCTCCCTACCATCAAGGAGAGAGGGCCTTCCAATGTTGAACCTGCCATTGGTTTATATGTCAGCTTAAGTGAATCCCCCTATCTCTCAACAGGCATGCCAGATTTCCTGGAGAAGCTTCACACAGCTACTCTGAAAGCCAAGAACATGGAGATCAAAGTGAAGGACTACATCTCAGCTAAGCCTTTGGAAATGAGCAGTGAGGCCAAGACCACTCCCCAGTCCTCTGAGCGAAAGACGGAGGGGAGTTGTGGCCCTGCTCGGATTGAGTATGCATGAAGGGCTGTGTTGTAAGAAGAGACAGGCGCTTCTAACCCTGTCTCGGTCCCTTATCACTCTGCTACAGAATGGGGACAAGCCACGTGTATTAGAAGGCATCTGCTATAACCACCAATGCAAGATAATTCACTAACTGGAGTCTTGATTTCATTCAGAGCCCTTTTTGCTCTTTATCAGAGAGAAGTCAGCATTGTGGAGACATCATATTCTCAGGCCAACCATCTTGAAATTCAGTATTTCACTGAGCTAATCTGGAACAAACTACTAACCTTAGACCAGAAGAGGATGTCTTCCATTTGCTTCTGAGTGATTTCCTCGATGACATTCCAGATCCCAGCATCGGTTATGCAGTGCTTTGGATTTCCTTCCATTGTGCAGGTCACCTGAAATGTGTGGTTGGCTGGTCATTTCTCAATGAGGGGTCACTGGGAGTACTCTTGGTAATAGTCTAGTGTGATTGGGTGTGAACGATACTGTGTTAAGTGCCTTGTCCTTACCTTACTTTTATCTTTAGGGACATGAAGTTTGTACCAAGAAATGTCTCCCCTTTCAGAATACCACCCATCGACTCACCTTACTCAAAACACTTTTCATTTGAATCGGCTGGTTCTGTGTTCATGCACTGTTTTCATTGCATCATTGCATCTGTGCTAGCCTTATCCTGTTAGCCAAGAACACTGGAGATGAGCCTGTCTAGACACTAGCTTTCTGTATCACCAGTGTTTTGACAGGGTCAGTGGCATTGCACAAAATAATACATTTAAATTGTTTTTACTTTTTTTTTAAGCCTTTGTATCAAAATGAAGTGCAGGAGTTGAGCACAATTTCTCCAGAGTGCTACTGGCTAGAAAATACTGTGTTTTGGTTCAGGCATTATTTTCCCCACTGCATGTTTGACTTGCTCTCTAAGGAGGCTAAAGGCAGAGGAATGGGGGCTGGGCCACCCCCTCGGGGCTCTCAGAACTCTAGGCAAACTGTGTGAACGAATAGATATAATCGTACCCCAAATATAATATAGTGAGGATGTGGTTCCTCTAAAAAGTGTTTCCCCTCTCTCCAGAGCTGAAACAAAAGCAAACCACACTGCTGGGATAAGGTCACAAGTGATGATACTGGCTTGGCCTCTGATTTTGCTTATGGTCACATTGTGGTCTGTTGGGAGAATAGGGATCAAGTTTTAAATCCTCCCTTCCTTTTTTTCTGGCGTTCAAATGACTGAATTTTCCTTTTTTTTTTTTTTTTCCTGCTTGCTACCCTGTTGTGGTATTGAAAAAGGAATCTAAACCTGAGACTAACTTAAACCCCTCCTTGACCTTCTTGTTGCCTGTTCAGTTTTGTGCCAAGGGAAGTGTTTCATGTCTTCGAGTCGTTGGCAGAGCAGAGAGATGCATTGAACAGTCTCAGCATCTTTTCATTTTCTCTCTTCTCCCCAGGGCCGGACAGAAGCCAGGGAAGAATTCTTGGCTTAGTGCCTGTGATTGTGAAACAGATGTGTGCGTGTGTGTGTGTGCGTGTGTGCGCATGGGTGCTAAGCACTTGTGATTGCCCCATGTTCTGACTTACAGTGATTTGACTCTGTACAGTTACTTATGTCATTGTAATGATTTTGCTCTTAACTGTGACTTTTTATCAAATGCGTGAATAAATACATAAAGATTGGTATAAAAGAGTGTTTGTCTTGAGCAGATGGTGGTCGGGAAATTTTGTGTGTTGGGCTTATCATTTCATCTTGATTACAGAGTTGAAAGGAGCTACTACCCAAGAGCTGCCATGGAAAAGTGTCAGGGCTTGTTCTTTCTCAGTAGCTTGTGGTTAATACAAAGCTAGCCACCTTGTCTAGACTAGACATTTTCCAGGTGACCAGCTTGGCAAATGAAAATAACATCATCTGTTTCTATTCCAGTGTCTTGATCTACTAACTCATACATACCCTCTGTGGAGGGAACAGACCTAGAGCTTTCAGTAATAAAACTCAGTAGGGACTTGAGCAAGCACCAGGTCTCAGTTGAGTTGAGGAAGGTTATCTAGTATCTCTGGCTGACAGGCCAGGTGGAAGGTGGGTTGATTTACAGGGAGTGAGTTCTGTTGGAACCCAAATTTGTTCAGGAGGATTATTCAAGAGCGATTTGAGCATAGCATGAATTTGGGGTTTGTGTGTGATATTTGCCCATGGGAAACACTAGGTAGACAAACAGATAAGCATACCTGCCTGAATGGAGCTGCATAGGCACACATGAGACACATGGGCCCACGCTTCCTCCATCTGGCTGACCTGGTCTCATCTCACAGTCACAAACTGAAGCTCTCCAGTGGCCACGGTCCCTGTGCTTAACATCCCTTCTCTCCTTTCAGCTTCACTTATCTTTTACCTCCCTTCTCTACCCTTCACTACCTTACCTCTCCTGTTCTCTTCCTCTGCATGGAGTGGTGGGTGTGGGAGCTGGGTGGGCAGGTTATTGGATTCTGAGGTTTTTTTCATGGTGAATACTTATTTATGTATTTCTTAACCAATTGACGGGTATGAAACTGCTGTTCTTATGTCCCAAAGTTTTTGAGTGCTAGGAACTCATAAACTTTTTTTTTTTTTTTTTAATAAGCCCTGTAATAGGTTTTTTTGTATGGTTTTGCATAGTGGGACAGAATTTATCATGTTCTGGTAACACTGATTGTCCTTGAACCAGAAGGCAGTACAGCAGGAATCTAGTGAGGCTGCTGTAGCCCACACATGTTACTCATGGAATTCCTGTGGTGGTGGCTGTGGGATGAGGGTTTAGTATGAGGCATTTACTTTGAAATTTTTCATGTATATTAAATTGAAAGAATAATTTTTAAACTACTTTGAATCACCCTTCCCTTACTGGTTAACGTCTTGCTGTATGTGCATCCTCTTTATACACTTCTATAATCATTGAAAGCAAGATGGAAGCATGCTATTCTCCCTCCCCAACACTGGTGAGTGTGCTTTTCTAATATAGATGTTACAGTATCGTTAGCACAGAAAGTAAATAATAATGTCACAATACCTAACAACAGAGTTCATAATAAAATTTCCCCAGTTGCCTCCCAAATGACCTGTAGCCCCCTCAGAAGTCCCATGTGGTGTCTCCAACTATTTTTAATGTAAAAGAGTAGCCTGTTCTTTGTAATGGGACTTCACCTGTGCTCCTAATAGGATAATACAGTGCAGTAGTGATCATACTTGGGCCCACCCCAGGCCATCAGCACCTCAGGGAGTAGCTGTAGCACCTGGTGTGAAAGGGTTGCATGTTGAATATGATCAACAAACAAAACAGGCTGTAAGCTTCCACTGTCAGTCTTGCCACACTCTTGGCTTACACTGAGCTCAGAACCAGCCAGGTGCTGTGTTTTGTACTTTCAACTAATCCTAGAACCATGTGAATGTGTATCTAGCTCTGTTGCATACAGGAGGAAATGGCAGTAGAGATGAAGTAATGGTCTTGCTCAAGGTCACACAGGAAGCGATGTAGGAGCCAGGAGCCGACCTACCTAACTTTGACCTCTCCAAAGTCACCTCTGACAGCTTGGCTTAAATCTTAGGTTCATTTCTTGTAACTATAGTGCTAGGTTTTCCCTTGGGGCAGTAGACTTGTTTTGAAGATTGGATTATAGGCGCTCTTTTATCCATCAGTGTTAAGCTTTATGTGACTGACACCCACTCCTCCCTGGTTCCACCCTTTACATGGCCGGTGGCTTGAGCTTTGTCTCTTTTGCCAGTCCGAGTTCTATTTCTGTATCTAAAGCATCAACATCATTTTTCTCCTGAAAACTTAATACACATCACTCCCAGTGACACAGCTTAACACAGAGCAATGGAGGGTGGTGGGGAGAGTGTGTAACTTGGGGACATGTGAAATAACATCTAAAAGTATTTTAAAGTCTCTTACAAATTAATAGAGCATGGGTGAAAGTGATCTTACTGTTAAGATGTGCTATTCCTACAGACCTTGGTGGGTGCTTAGAGAATCATTCAAACTGAACTCCCAGACTGCACACTCACTTTCATAACCTCATGGGTGACTGTGGCCTGCAGATGTACTTAGGAATTTGTTTTGGGGGGGGCGGAGTACTTGGGTTTGAATTCAGAGTTTTCCACTTGCAAAGCAGATGCCCTGCCATTTAAGCCACACCTCCATTTCATTTTGCTCTGGTTATTTTGGATATGGGTCTTACGTACTGTTTGCCCAGGCTGGCCTGGAGCAGAGATCCTCTAGCTCTCAGCCTTGCAAGTAGCTAGAATTACAGACACAAGCCATTGGCTCCTGGCTTAGGAATTATTTCTTTATGTTTATTTATTTATGATACTTGAACTCAGGGCCTAACACTTGCTAGGCAGGCACTCCACCACTTGAGCCACTCTACCAGTTCAAGGCCAGCCCTTTTTGGTGATGGGTATTTTCAAGATAGGGTGATAGGGTCTCGAGAACTATTTGCTGAGGCTGGGTTTGAACTGCGATCCTCTTGATTACTGCTATGGAGTAACTAGAATTACAGGCATGAACCTCCATCGCCCAGCTAGGAATTTTTTATTTAAACATAACTAATGACCTAACTTTAGCATCTACTTTTATTTTTGCTTTTACTTTTTGAATTACTTCTTTTTGGATTTTCGAGAGTCTCACTTATATATAAAGCCTCTACTGACCTGCCTCCACCCCCGAATACTAGGATTATAGATGACTGGCTTAGTATAATCTAATTTTATTTTTTAAATGTATTTATTATTTTTGTGCATGAGGCTCATGGTTTAAGCCAGGCTAGGTTTGCTTGTTTTGTTTTTCCTTTGGGAGTACTGCTATTTTGAACTCAGGGCTTTGCACTTGCTAGGCAGGCCCTATACACTTGAGCCTGGCCTCTACCCATCATCTAATTCTTAAAAGTCTAAAAAGGAGGGGTGAATGAATGCTTGAAAGTAGCAGTATTTGTTTTGTTTTTTAACAGTTAATGCATTTTTTTCACTTTTTTGTTTGTTGGACTAAGGTTTGGACTCAGGACTTCATGTTTGCAAAGCAGGCACTCTACCAATTAAGCCACACCTCCAGTCCATTTTTCTTATCTTTAAGCTGTGCTGTGTAAATCAGAAATGTGTTTGGCCTCTGTGTGGCTAGATCATGACCCTTGTGATTGTCTCTGTGAAGTTCTGTCAGTCCGTAGCTGGCATGGCAGCTGTGTGGTCCTCTCGTCCACCAAGGTGGAATCAACATCAGAACTTCAAGGGAGGGTGGGGGAGGAGGGCAGGGTGGAGAAATGACCCAAACAATGTATGCACATGTGACTAAATGAACAACAACAAAAAAAGACCTTCAGGGGTGGAACCCAGGCATCCTAGTTTTGAAGTTACCAGGGGTTCTAATGTGCAGACTTGGAAAACACCAGGAAAGTGTTAGAAGTATGGGCTCTGGAGCTAGAGTCAATGCTTTTTCCTCACCTGTAGAAAGGGTTAAGATACCTTGGACTGAGAGTGTGGCACAAGTGGTAGAGCCCTTGCCTAGCTGGCGTGAAGCCCTGAGTTCAAACCCCAGTACTGCTAAAAAAATTAAATAGTATTGCTGTAAATATTTAGTTAATTATTGTACAGTTAACCTGTGAACAACTTGAGGTGTAAGATGCTGACACCTGCTGTCAAAAATCAGTGTTCTTGTAACCTGTCTTCCCCAAAACTTAAGTGCTGCTAGCCTGCTGTGGACTAGAAGCCTACTGAGCAGTAGTTGATGAACACACATTGTGTATGTTATTTGTTACACATGCCGAACTTGACACTGCTTGGAGGGATTAATGGCACAGGCTTTTTTTTTTTTTCTTTTTTTTTTCGGTACTGCATTTTAAACGTGGGCCCTTGCATTTGCTTGGCAGACACTCTACCACTTGGGCACACACCCAGCCCTTTTTTGTTTGTTTTAGTTATTTTTTTTGGTTACTGTCTTGTGGCTTTGCTCAGGGCCAGCTTTAACTCTTGTTCTTCCATCCTCCCACCTATGCCTCCAGAGTAGTTGGGATCACAAGCGGGCACCAAAACACCAGCATGTTAGTTGAGATGGGGTCTTGATAACTTTTTGTCCCTGCTGGCCTTGAACCATAATCCTGATCTCTGCCTCCTGAGTAGCTGGGATTACAATTGTGAGCCACCAGCCTAGTCTTACAGGGCATTTAAAGCAGACACAGCAATGGAGCCCTTCTCAGTGGTGGTAATGGAGGTGTCTGCCAGGTTAGCACTTGTACAGTATTTATGACTTAATATTATGGTATCGTGATTTAACACCATCTTTTTTTTCTTTCTTTCATGCTGAGACATAGCATTCAGAACATTTTAAACACCTCACTTTCTCCTAATTATATTTCTGGCAATATTATATCTTGATGATACCCTTCCTAAGTCCAGGCATGGCCCCTGTCTTCCAAGAAGGAGGGAGAGAGGAACCATGCTGCTCATTGCCAGCCTTTACATCTGCCCCACGAGTGAGAAGGAGCGAGAAGAGAAGAGAATGTCCCCTCCCTTGAGGATGCTCCCCAGAACACTCACCACTTCTGTCTACAGCCTACTGCCCACAATTTAATAGATTATATGCAGCTGCTTGGAAAAAGAGCCTGTATTTTGAGCAGCCTACTATGTACCTAATTAAAATTCAGAGGTAACTTTGCTGAGAAAGGAGAGAATGGAAATGGGGACACCCAGCAGGCTTCACCAAATTACAGATAAGCATAACAAATGCATCACTTCAAGAACTCTGGATGGTTCCATTTAAAAAGAAGGGCAAGGCGAGCACTGGTGGCTCACGCCTATAACCCTAGCTACCCAGGAGGCAGAGATCAAGAGGATCAAAGTTCGAAGCCAGCCCTGGGCAGATAGTTCAAGAGACTATCTTGAAAAAACCTCATCATGAAAAAGAGTTGGAGTGGCTCAAGCAGTAGAGCACTTGCCTAGCAAACGTGAGGCCTGAATTCAAACCCTACTACCACAAAAAAAAAAAAAAAGGCAAAAATGCCAGTAGTTATTCTAGAATTTTCAGTATAGCTATTCTATAATTCAGTGGACTTCAGTAGATCACCTAGAATTTAAAAGATTTTCTAGAATTTAACTCAACATCCACACCAAGTCAGTTCCTCTATACTTCTGAGGCCTCCCACCCCATCTTTGAAAATCCTAAGGATCTTCAACCAGCTGCTGCCTGGCTTCCATCCCTGAGGACATTAGGCAGCTGGAGGACTCTGAAGAAATTCACTTTTGGTGTCCATGTTAGGAATAGGACTCACAGGCTTGCCTTTTTATTTTCTTTGCACCTTTGCCCTTGTTTGTGGTTTTCTTTCTTATCTTCTCGCTTCTACTTTCTAAGCATCACGTGTCCTTTACACTGTAGACCGCTGTGATTGCTCTTGCAAGGCGCAAACATCTGCCTTAGTTACAACAGATA